GCTGCTCCACTCCCCATCCAGCTCCCTGCATTTTGTGGAGAAAAGAATGTCTTTGTTCTTACAGAGGATTTAGTATTCAATTCACAGTATGTGGGGTGGTGGAGGGGAGACAGAAGCCAAATAAGTGAACCCATAACCATGATTATGCTTTTAGCATTAAGGTCACACACACCTGGAGACAGCACCCACTGCTACCACTGTCACCATCACCACCAGTACCACAGAGTCCCCTCACTCATGAGCTGGAGATCTTCCAAGGAACATGGAAGTGACCCATTGTCACCAGAGGCATCTACCACCTCAGGAAGTGCACCTCTGCCCACCCCTCAGAAGGTTATGTGACATTGACCCCTCCCCAAGGCTACAGTTCTCCACACAAATGTATGAGTGAGCAGGGGAAAAAATATATATAGATGTATATATATATATATATAAGTATGTATATATATATACACATACTTATATGTATATATATGTGTGTGTGTGTATATATATATATATATATGTCTCTGGGCATATATATATATATGTCACACAGCCCAGAGACAAGCTAATCCTCTGTCTGCAGCACTGGCATCCCATAAGGTGCTGATTTGAGTTCCAGCTGCTCCATTTCTGTGCCAGCTCCCTGCTAATGACCTGGAAAAGCAGTGAAGGATGGCTCAGATCTTTGGGCCCCTGCACTCATGTAGTAGACCCAGCAGAAGCCACAGATTCCCAGCTTTGCACCAGTCCAACTCTGTCCATGGCAGCCAGTTAAGGAGTAGGTAAAAGATTCTCTCTCTCTCCCTCTGATTCTTTCAAATAAACAACTCATTTTAAAAATTACTTATTTGAAATGTGGCATGACAGAGACAGGGAGAGACAGAGAGAAAGAGATAAGTCATCCACTGACTTGTTGCCTAGATGGCTGCAACAGCTAAGGCTGGGTGAAGGATGAAGCCAAGAACCAGAGATGCTATCTAGTCCTCCCCTATGGGTGTCAGGAGTCCAAGCACTTGGACCATCCTCCTCTGCCTTTCTAGGCACATTAGCAGGTTGCTGGGTTGGGAGCAGAGAAGGTGAGATTCAAACTGGCCCTCCAATATGGAATACTGGGTAGCAGGCAGCTACTTAACCTACTGTATCATGATAACTCCATCAAACAACTTTTAAAATATTAATAAACTCCTTCCTAAATTAACTTACTTGTGTGTGAGAGTTCTTGTCCATTGGTTGACTCACCAAAAGCCTACAAAAGATAGGGCTGAGTGGGGCAGGGCTGAAGTCAGGGTCAGGAACTCAATCCAGGTCTCCTACTTGAGTAGTAGCAATCCATTGCCTGGGCTATCACCGCTGCCTCCCAGGGTCTATGCGAGGATGAAGCTGGGGTCAGGAGCAGGAATGGGGCAGTGAACTCAGTGTGGGATGTGAACATTTTAACCAGTGTTTTAAACACTAGACTAAGTGTTCACACCAGTAAACTGAGCAAAGTACCCACATACTTCCTACACACACGCACACTCCCATTTTCCATAGTTTTAGATTTTCATCAATATGGTAGATTTGTTATGGTTGACAAGCCAATATTAATTCTTTATTGTTAAACGACGTTTGAATTAGGGTTCACTGCTTGTGTTGCCTGATCTACAGATTTGGAGAAATATATAATCATACATAAACATACATACCATCTTTTTATGTAATTCATTCTTTCTTTCTGCTTTCTTCTAGTTCTCTTTGGTGAGAGAGAGAGACAGACAGACAGAGGAGGGACAAAGAAAGAAAGATTCTTCCATCTGCGGTTTCACTCTCCAATGACTGCTATGTCCAGAGCTGAGCTGGTCCAAAGCTTGGAGCTGGAATTTCTTCCAGTTCTTCACATGTGGGAGGGACCTAAGGCCTGTCCACCAACCTCCACTGCTTTTCCAGGCCATAAGCAGAGAGCTGGTTTGGAAGTGGAGCAGCCAGGACAAGAACCTGTGCCCATATGGAATGTCAGCCCTGCAGATAGAATATTAGCTTGCTATGCCATGGTGCCAGTTCCAACCTGTGTCTTAACTACCAGGCAAAAATGCCCATCCTTTATATATATATATTTTTAAAGATTGATTTATTTATTTTGCAAAGTCAGATATACAGAGAGGAGGAGAGACAGAGAGGAAGATCTTCCGTCCAATGATTCATTCTCCAAGTGAGTGCAACGGCCAATGCTATGCCGACCCAAAGCCAGGATCCAGGAACCTCTCCTGGGTCTCCCACGCGGGTGCAGGGCCCCAAGGCTTTGGGCTGCCCTCGACTGCTTTCCCAGACCACAAGCAAGGAGCTGGATGGGAAGTGGAACCGCCGGGATTAGAACCAGCGCCCATATGGGATCCCGGGCGCGTTTAAGGTGAGGACTTTAGCCACTAGGCCACGCCACTGGGCCCCCATTCCTATGTATTTTTAAACTGTGCTATAACATACACCATGAAATTTACCTACCTAACCACTTCTGTGAATACTTATTTTTAAAATTAAATATATTTTAAATCTTATCCTCAGAAACAGTAAATTAATTGTGCCAACTCCCTTCATTCAGTGAATAATTATTAAACATTTACTCTGATAAGCAATGATAAAAATCTTGAGAAGAGATATTCTCCATAATCCTGGGGTTGTTTGCCTCTTCCTCAACTGGAAACAAACAACTCCAGGGTTACATGGTTAATGGAATGATAGAGCGAGGCATCAAATACTACATGTGCACCCAGTCACCAGCACCTACCTGAGTGACCACCACATGCCAAGAACTGTGCTAGGTCCCACAAATTGAATCACATATCATTCAATATTCATATTCACAGTGTCTGTTTTGCTTTTTAAGAGAAAAATTTGGGTCAAATGGAGGATCCAAATTTCCTGCGATTTATTGCATGTTCACAAAGAAAATATGGGCTGCCATCAGAATATAGAAAAGATTCACTTAAACCTTGTCCCATTGAGGAGTCAGACTTCCCAGAGAAGGCTGTGGATTTTAAGAAGCAGGCATGAGCTAGCTGAAGGGAGGAACCCACAGAGTGCAGAGCGCAGACACACCCAGGGAAAGGTGGATGAGTGAGCAGGCTGCAGAGAACTAACTGAATGCCATTGTTTGGAGACGGTGGCAGGTGCAGTGGTAAAGATGGCATCTGGGATGGCTGCATCCTAGATCAGTGCCCTTGTTTAAGGGCTGGCTCAAACACCAGCTTCCTGCCAACGCACACAGGAGGAGGCAGCAGATAACGGCTCAAAAACTCAGTTCCGTGCCACCTGATTTTTTAAAAATTAATTAATTTATTTAAAGATTATTTTTTTTAATTGGAAAGGCTGATATAGAGAGTAGGAAAGACAGAAAGATCCTCCTTCTGCTGTTTCACTTCCCAAACGGCCACAACAGCTGGAGTTGAGCCAATCCAAAGCCAGGAGCCCAGAGCCTCATCTGAGTTTCCCATGCAAGATGCAGGGTCCCAAGGCTTTGGATCATCTCCAACTGCTTTCCCAGGCCACGCGGAGCTGGATGGGAAGTAGGGCCACCAGGATTAGAACCAGTGCCCATTTGGGATCCTGGGGCATGCAAGGGGAGGACTTTATCCACTAGGCTACTGCACCAGGCTCCTCAAGTTAATCTTTGTTAAAAAGTGCTTTGTTATATAGCTGAAGAGACAGATATTGCCTGTCACCAGCTGACGAGAAATGAAGCTTAAAATGTAGGTCTCACTCAAAGTAAAGTGTCTTTTATGCTGTCATGCTGCATTTTGGCACCACTTCCTGAATAATATTTCCCTTGCACATAAAAAGAAGAGTAATGTTTATTGAGCACCCGATTGTGTCCAGGAAGTGCCTTAGATGCAGTAACTTCTTCAGTCTTCGCTGCACATACTGTTATTAACATCATCCTTGTTATAATGTTGTACGTTCCTTACAAACTAGCAAACTGATGTACAGAAAAGTAGGTAACTTGGCCAGAGTCCACAGTCCCATTGAATCTCCGGTAACCTGGCTGTGCCGCCTCTCGTTAACACATGATATTTCAAATATTAGAAACATGAAACTTTGAGAGGCCGTTTGAAAGCTACAAACTCCATACGATGTTTGTTTCTGTTTACTCTCAGCCCGGACTCGAGCTGTTTAAACCATCGTGATCCTTCATGGTCCAGTAGCTGAAGCTACTCAATGACTCTTTATCTTCTTTTCCGGGCGCTCTTTTCCTTCTTCCTACTTTATTTTTTAACTACCACTTATTAATTCTTCAGTGAACATTCATAATAATGTCGAATTAAAATCCTGGAGTTGAGGATCTGAGTGAAAAGTATGTTGACTTGTAAGTAAAGTTGGAAAATAATGAGTTTCCATTCAGGAGGTGCACTCTACTTCTCCCTCCAAGCCTTCTTTCAAACCTACATAGACGTTCTAAATGGCTTTCTTAACATATGGAACATTTATTAAGATTCATCTTAGGCATGTCATAATTTGGTAGAAACGTCTTGTCCTACCTTCTAATGATTATGAGTACGAAGGAACATTATTTATTTAACTGTTCTCCCTAGCAGGTGGGATCATAAAACTCTCCAAAACTAAAAAAAAAAAAAAAAAATAGATAAAAACAAGTGTATGCCTTCTTCCGTGACGTTGAAAACATTCGGGGGTGGGAGGGAGGCTCCAGGGAAAATATGCCTTTTTCGCTGCTCTTGTATTTTTCAGCATGTATTCAGAATATTGTCACCCATGCATTTTCGCCTGTTCTCCCCCCCCCCCCCCCCCCCGGGACAGAGGCACGAAACGTGTCGGTGGCTGCGCTAGGGCCACCTCCCTTCCAGTTACGTTGCTCTCCCTGACCCATCCCGCGGCTCCTAGTTCAAGCTAATTATTGACAGAGCTCTCAGAATCACAAGCTTCTCCTGCAGCCTTGATAAGACGGCCGGCGGGGCAGCGAGCTGCTGCGCGCGGCAGGCTCTCCGGGGAATGAATGGGTCTCCCTCGGCACCGAGGAGAGACGCGCACGCAGCGGGGTAACCATGTCGGGCGGGCGCCTGCGGGGCTCGGTCCTGCTGTCACTCCTCATCCTGCTGCTAGCCGCGACTGGCCTCTCGGGCGACGACGGGAGAGCCGTCTGGTCCAAGAATCCTTCTTTGAGTCCGGTGAATGAAAGCCAGCTGTTTCTCTATGACACATTCCCTGAAAACTTTTTCTGGGGTGTGGGGACCGGAGCGTTTCAGGTGGAAGGGAGTTGCAAGGAGGATGCAAAAGGACCCTCTATATGGGACCAGTTCGTCGCCACTCACCTGAACGTCAGTGGCGTCAATGGCTCCACTGACAGCTGCCTTTTTCTAGAGAAGGACTTAGGGGCGCTGGACTTCTTAGGAGTCTCTTTTTACCAATTTTCCATTTCCTGGCCAAGGCTCTTCCCGGATGGTACGGTGGCAGCGGCCAACGCCAAAGGTCTACAGTACTATAACGCCCTCCTGGACGCCTTGGTGCTTCGAAACATTGAACCCGTGGTGACCCTCTACCATTGGGACCTGCCTTGGACACTGCAAGAAAAGTATGGGGGGTGGAAAAACGATACCGTGGTCGAACTCTTCAATGAGTATGCCACATACTGCTTCCAGACGTTTGGGGACCGCGTCAAGTACTGGATTACCATCCACAACCCCTATCTGATGGCTTGGCATGGATATGGGACAGGTACGCACGCTCCGGGAGAGAAGGGGAACGTGGCAACTGTCTACGCTGTGGGACACAATCTGATCAAGGTACTGTACAGCTGTCTTCTTACTGTAGCTTCGTCAGGGGTTCAGTGCCAAAGAGCCGCTCAATCATGCTGGTCATCAGATCCAGTGCACCTGATTGTAGGCTCGTGCCCAAGTGCTGGCCTCGAGTGTTATATTTAAAACATCATCATTTAAAAAACATCTTCTTTAAGCGGTTAGGACCATCAAATGGGTTTCCTCCGAAGTGGAGCTATTTTTAGACTTGCATTTAGACTACATTAGATTGTGACAATATGAGTTCAGAAAATCTGTATTTTATGCATCTTACAGTTAGGAAGCTTTTCTGACAACACACAAATCATCCCATTATTACTGCAGGGATAATCATTTCAAATACCTATTTGTTATTCTTGTTGCTATTCCTGGTGTGATGTATTTATATAATACAAAGAAATTTTAGCCAACTGGTGCATGCTAAATACACAAAGTGTAACAAATATACTTCATATTGGGTTTTATTTGTGTTGCATGGTAGAAAAGAGGCAATTAATTGTAACTTAAGTGTTGTGTGCTCTGTTAAGTGTTTCTAAAGGTACCATATTTTAGATGCTATCATTTATGTTGGACAATGTGAAACTCATCAAAAATCATGCAAATGTAAGCAAAATAACAGCTATTTGTTGAGTGCTTATTAGGTATAACAGATACCAGTAGGCATTATACCTGAATTGTCACATTTGATCTTCATGACATCCTTATGAAATAGGTGCTATGGATTATTCCTATTCTAAAAAGAGGAAGCAGTGTGAAATTAAAGAATTTGCCTATGGTTACACAGTAAAATACAGCTGCTTTGAATATGGGCTTTAGCAATGACAGCATAATTAAACCTTCTCTTTATTAAGAATGTTTTCCTAAAAAGCCATCTCTAAGAACTTTCAACAGATTTAGCCTCACGTTGATGCTAACATCCGGAATCAGATTTAGCGTCCTGAATCCAGTGGTTTACTTTAGAAAAATAAATTACTCTGAAAATGCCTGTTTCATCTTGAAATTAAAAAAAAAAAAAAAAACAACTAAGACGATCTCAAAATGTGCTGGGGGAAGTGCCTTAATTTTTAACAATCAAATCTTAACTACAGAGAAATAGGAAAAAAAAAATGTACAGAAGTAGAAAACCACTCCATGACTAAATTGGGACAAAAGTATCTGCTAACTCTTCTGTTCTTTGGAACTTTCTGGATCTTCTATCTGTACATAACACTGTTTTCAGTCACATCTGCCCTTGCAGGAAACAGACTGCATTACGATTTCAAGGTCATTTGCATATATCCAAATATAGTGGTAAATCTATTAATAAGTAGGTATACTGTGTTGTAGCAAGCTGAAACCTTAAAGTGAAAAGTTCTAGCTACATAGTAACGATCAAGATTATGCTTATATGCTAGAAGAAGTATTCCTTTTATCTAGTTCTTTCAGTTATTAAAGCAATTTGTATTGCAGTAAATTTAAAAACATCAGCCCGGCAAGTATAAAAGTCAAGTTTCCTGCAGAAATCCAAGTGCCTCCACTTGGTGTTTTCTGGGAATGTATAAATTAACCCTTCTCCCTCAAGCAGTTCTCCTCCCTCCTCCCCCACCCCCCCATTAAAAAAAAAAAAGAAGAAGAAGAACACAAAGTGAAAAACTTAGTTCTTTCTGTCCAGCTGACAGTCACACACAGAAACCACTGTTAACCCTTCTTCAAGTGAATTCGACATTTACAGGCGTGTATTTACCTTCGTATGCAGAAAAATATTCTAGCCTAACAAAAAGCTTTGGCCACCTGAAAAAAGGCAACAACTGGGATTGTCATGTTTTAGTGGTTCAGGTAAAGACTAAAAAGCTGCCTACTGATAAAAAGCAATGGGAGAAGTTTTCCTTCAGGCTGAGATAAACTCTGCCTTTAACACACAATTCGTTCCTGATAGTAAGATGTATTTCATTGTCTTCAACTGAAAGATTCTTTTTTGTTTTAAGTAACTGCCCTCCCAATTGATTCCATTGCCCAAAGCACCAGCCTACATAAATGGTGTAAGGGGGTTCCCGAAATCTGCCAGAACCTAAGCCACACTGTGTGGCCCAGGGTCCTCTGGCACCGAGAGCAATCTTGCAATGGTTTGGGAACCTGAGGTGAACTAGTTTTCCCCACATGTCCCCTTCCTGTCCCTATTTTAAGTAGAAAAGTTCACATGATAGTTCATGTTGCAATGAAGTCTTTCTTTCTTATGCCCCCGTGACCCAGAAAAAAGTATTCTTTAAAAGGGTTAGTTTCCAGTGAAAAAAAAAAAGGGGGGGGATTTTATTGAGTTTAATAAGCCTAATATAAAACTAAACACATGAATGGTTGGTTACTAACTACATTACTCCTTAATTCTCAGATGTTGATATTGTATTGTTGTAGCTATTGGGATCTTTTGAGTTCTAGAATGATCCTGAAATTCCATCTCCATTTGGAACTTTCTGGTAGGGAGGAAATCTGAATGGTCTAGATTCCAACACTCACCTGGAATTGAGGTGGCACCTTGCTGCAAACATAGGCCTCAGGATTTAAAAAAAAATCCCCATAATCATAACTACGCATAAGTAGATGCTCTATTCTTGACTTATTAACAGTGTTTGGTATAAGAGAGAATGAATTTTCGAGTTTGGCCATCTTTAAGCCTGGTCATCATCACTATAAAATTATCTATTGAACATGTCAAAGTTGGCCAGATCACTGATTACCCCATCTAACAGAGTGATTTTTAAAATTTTTTTTGGTAGTATAAATCCTGTTGTTTCCCTGCATAAAAGCCTTTGGCGGCTCTCCAAAGGTTTAGGGATGAAGTCCTGATTTTTAACCATGATCTTTAAGTCCCAACCCTAGCCTTGTACGATAGATTCTTCCTGGCCACTTTTTCACCAAATGCTTTCCTGGTAGTGCCTTGCCTTTACTCTTCCCTCCCTACTCAGCCTGTACCAACTGGCTTTATCCAGTTAAAGCGTTCTTTCTATTTTACCCACCAAATGTCCTTCAGGACTTACTTCCAGCTGTAGCCACTGGCTCTAACTTATTCTTTAAAAAAATTTTTTTTTTTATTGGAAAGGCAGATTTACAGAGAGAAGGAGAGATAGAAGATCTTCTATCTTCTGTTTCAATCCCCAAAAAACAGCATCAGCCAGAGCTGAGCTGATCTGAAGCCAGGAGCCAGGAGCTTCTTCCGGGTTTCCCATGCAGCTGCAGGGGCCAGGGCTTTGGGTCATCCTCCTCAGCTTTCCCAGGACATGAACCAGCACCCATATGGGATCCCAGTGCCTGGAGGTGGAGGATTAGCCAATTGAGGTGCTACCCTCGCCAAGTTTTTCTTAATTTGCTCCTCCTGAAGGTCCCCAAAGAATGGGCTTCTTTCTATCCTAGCACTCAATTATCACAGATATTTTTCTGTCTCTCCAAATGCACTCAGAGTTCCTTGGGGAGAGACAATTTCTTCTTTGTGTTCCCAGCACCTAACACGGACTATTTGGTATGTGCTAGCACACGTGCTGGGTGAATGAATGGTTTTCTCCTTAAAAGTCATCATCAAAAGTTGATCTTAAGTTCCATCTTATTACCTCATTGCCTTCTTGCTAATTCTTGAAGTATTGCCGATAGCAATCTAGTGGTGTATTAGTCAGGATCTTTTGGGTTGCAAGTGACAGAAATCTAATTCAACTTGGTAGAAGCAAAGAGCAATTTCCTGATTCAATAACTGGGCCCCAGGGATGAGTGGACATGGCATCTGGGACACCCTCATTTGCCCTTTATATTGGCCTTTCATGTCCATTGTTGCTGGTGGGCGGCCGTCATTCTCTCCTTTGTAACTGGAATAATTTCTTTCTCTCAAACAAATTTTCCAAGTCCCAGGACAGATTTGGTCTTATAGAGTTACCATCTTATTCCAATCTTATTGCAAAGCTGCAAGGGTTCTGATGAGAAAAGACAATGATAGTGTCTGTTTTCATTCAAATTCTAAATCAATAAGTAGACATCATAATTTAAATATGTGGATTTCCCCCATCAAATAAAAAAGGTTGGGGGAAGATGAAATGGCTTTAGAGACACACTTGGTTTATTACTCCTTTTTTTTTTTTAAAGATTTATTTTGTTTTTATTGGAAAGGCGGATTTATAGAGAGGAGAAAAGACAGAGAAAGATCTTCTGTCCACTGATTCTTTCCCCACGTGGCCCGAAAGCTGGAGCTCAGCTGATCTGAAGCCAGGAGTTTCTTTTAGGTCACCCACCAGGTGCAGGATCCCAAGGCTCTAGGCTGTCCTTAACTGCTTTCCCAAGCCACAAACAGGGAGCCAGATGGGAAACAGGACCACTAGGATATGAACTGGTGATCATGTGGGATTGTGGCGCATACAAGGTGAAGACTTTAGCCACTAGGCTACCACACCAGGGCCTTATTACTCCTTCTAAATAGTGCAAACTCCTAGGATAGGAGCTTAAAATGCCATATCCTGTCTATATAAGGCAAGGGTTTCTCATCCTTGGCCCTATTAACATTGACAGTTGAGACCAGACCAGACTTTGTGAGCAGGGAGCTGCCCTGCGCCTTGTGGGATGCTTAGTGGCATCACTGAACTCTGCCCACTAGTACCTCCCTACCACAGCCCCATATACTAATGCTGGCTTCCTGAATTCTGACATTCAAAACTGTCTCCACACAGTCTCATGCTCCCTGACAGTCACAATCTCCCCTCTTCCCCTACCTTTGACAACCACTGACATACACCTGGAAGAGACAACTGGCAGGCCGGCGCTGTGGCCTGGCTGCTAAAGTCCTCACCTTGAACACGCCGGGATCCCATATGGGTGCTGGTCCTAATCCCAGCAACCCCACTTCCCATCCAGCTCCCTGCTTGTGGCCTGGGAAGGCAGTCAAGGATGACCCAGGGCTTTGGGACCCTGCACCCGCATGGGAAACCCGGAAGAGTTTCTGACTCCTGGCTTTGGATCGGCACAGCACCGGCCATTGC